ATTTCTTTTCCTTCCTGTCCCACAGGTACTCTGTGTCTGCATGTTAACGACAATCCTAGGATGTATATTTGGCCTGAAGCCTAGCTGCTCAAAAGATGGTAACTAATGTCTTTTATTTAGTAATATTACTAAACAATTCATTTGTTTTCTTTTTGTGAATTAATTTTCATATTATCAGAATGCCACCCTTCTTGCTGCAGTAGGAGGATTGCATGTATGGCTTGAAGCAGTATCAGTAAGAGTGGAATAAAAATACCAGAAAATAAACCTCAGGTGTACTCAATAATTGTGTACTCACTTGAGAGGTAAAATGATCCTGGTACTCAGTGTCTGATTTGGCAGCTTCCATGTATCCCAGCTGTCACTGTGGTGAATGGCTGGCTTTTTTCAGTTCACCATTAAAAAAACCAAAATGAAACAACAAAACACAACAACTTCTATTTCATGTTGTCCTGGAACATTTGTTTTTCATCTTTTCCAGTCAATTATGGAGGGAAAAAAAAGTTATTTTTTTTACTGGTTAGAATTGTAGCCTGAAAACATTCCTGGTGGAATTCCTCTGTCTGTTTTCTGTTCTGAAAAATATGTGGTTTTTTTCAATGGTGAAGTTTCTTCAGGTGGAAGGTTATGAAAGATTTTTTTTTTAAAGAAATTAGGCTTCACTTTGGGAACAACTTTGAAGAATAATTTCAATGCTGAACATAAAATAATTTTCAACAGGAGTTCAGTTTATAAAATTTCTGTTACTGTACGTACATATACGTACGTACATATGTGTACATATTTCTATATGCAGTATTGGTTCATTAATATCTCATTTTCCTAATGTCACACACCTCAAGATTCTTCAGAATAGAAGCCAAATGATGGAGGATTTCCCTCACTCCCTTCTGGTGGTTGCTCAGGGTTAGACAGTGTGACCAAATTCTTAATTTTTGTTAATCTTTCACATCACCAGTTTCTAGTTGGGTGGTGTTTTGTTGTTTGTTTTGTTGTTTGTTTTGTTGTTTGTTTTGTTGTTTGTTTTGTTGTTTGTTTTGTTGTTTGTTTTGTTGGTTGTTTGTTGGTTGTTTGGTTTTGTTTTGTTTTTTCTTTTCTTTTTTTATGATTATTCCCCTGCCCTCAGCAACCCCAATCTAGTGGAAGAATGCTATATCTTTCTTTTATATATTGTAATTGAACAAAAAATAAACCAGTGTTTGTATCTTTTGTGTCTGCTTTGTAACAGCCATCCTTATATCTTGAGATCTTACATATTCTAAGGGACTGTACTCACAACTTCTTGTGACACAGAGAGGCAAGGACAGTCACAACTAGCTTTTATTTCTTTGGTTTCTGCCGATACTGAAACACCATGTTCCTGCTAAAAGAGAGCAGAACCCTTTGTTCAATATGATAAAAAATTATTTTTGCTCAGTAAGAGGAAATAAGCATTTGGTTGGGTCAAGACTTTCCTATGGCTGTCACTGTTTTTGCAGCCATCCTGTATGCTGGAATCACCAACTGTGTCATTTCACACGCTGGCTGTATTAGTTTCTTTTGCATGTTGACTGATTTGGGCTCAGCCACTGATATCTGACACTATCCAATATTACAGTGAAAACCTGCAAAGGTCGTTGCTTTGAAAGGACCTTTGGAAGCTGCCGTTGTGATAAAGATTGTGTCAAGCTTGGAAACTGCTGCTTAGATTACCAGGAAACATGTATACAACCAGGTAAGGATGGAAGAAACTGAGGGAGCAATCTCTCCTGTTCTTTGACAAGGGACAGCTCAGCACATGTGAGTACTGCTGTGGTCAGGGCTTATTGCAGATGGGCTGTGAGTGCAAAACGGGGCTACTGAGCAGCAGAGTGTTTCTGATGCCACTCCTCTTCCCCTTTTTATGCTGTGTTGCATTCCTGGATGGAGTTACAGTGATGATGGTGATGGTACTGGGGATTCCTGTGGAAACATCAGGGCTCTGGTACAGCTGCTGTTTCACACAAGCAAAGCTTCTATTTCACCCAGCTGGTCTACTTGGGAGCTGACAAAGCCTGTAGGCTGGCTGTCCCATAGCTCTCCTGTGAGAAGAGAGGCTGCTACAGACTGTGCTGCTGCCCTCCCCCTTGGAAGGAGGAGGAACAATGGCAACACGAGGTCTTAGCCAGCTTTTTGTTTGCTGGTGGTGAGACAACAGTGACCCGCATTGTTCCTGGCATCAGGGATAACTCCTACGTTCTTGGGCAAGCCTGGAATAGAAGTGCATTCTGCATATTGCATTTGTCTGTCATCGCCTGAGTGAAAAAGGGTACGGACAGAGCAGCTCTGTGAAAGCTGCCATCTCTCCTTACCCAGCTGCTCAGGCCCTCAGCCTTGCTGCTCCCCAGCCTGAGTGTGAAGCAAGGGTCATGAGCATGAATCAAGGCAGGATGACAGAACAGATTGCGCTGGTGAAGGATTGCGAAATGAGAAGCAGCTGCCATGATTTGCCAAAAGGCAAAGTTCAAATAGACAACTGTGCAAAAAATACCTTGGAGAAATTTTACAGGGAAAAATGTTAGTGTGTCTAGAACAACAAGTACAGCACTTGACTATTTTCTCTACTTTGCTTTTGCCTTTATGCTTCAGAAACGGCATTCCTTTCAGATAACATTTTTCCTTACTCCTCTTTATACACATTCGATTAATTTCTGGGTGAGACCACACTGATACGTTTAAAATTCCAATGTGGATGTTGAAAACCAAATGATTAAACTGAGCTCAGATCCCTGCTTCAGTTGACTGCTACTGAAAGGTCAAATTACACATATATAGTTGATATATCCAGGTATAAAATCACATCGGTTTTACTCTGTCTGTTTTATTACATCACTCCCCATGAGCATAAAGGTTTTTTATAAACAAACTGGAGAGTTTGTTTTTTAAATTAGACGTAACATCAGTGGAGAATCAAATTCTAATTTCCCAATAGTATCATGTAACTAGAAACATAATAGATTGTTCTCTCTCTCATGGAAGTAGAGATCTATTTGATATTAATGGAATTACTGAAAGTAATTACTGAAAGTGAGATTAACCTCCTGACAATGCTTTTAGGGATTTCTAATTGCTAGTCATGTATGAAAGTCATTGAGTGTCTTCTGGTCAAATATTTAGATTTGGCTTCCATGTCTCTGTTAAGATCTTCACTTAAGTATTCACTCAGCTGGTAAATTCACTGGTGTTTATCCTCACTGAATGTAAAGGATTTATTTGTGTTTATGATTGCTAAGAAATCATAGAATCACAGAATATGCTGAGTTGGAAGGGACCCATCAGGATTATGAAGTCCAATTTCTGGCCCTGCACAGGACACGCCAAGAGTCACACCATGTGCCTGAGAGTTATGCAAATGTTTCTTGAACTCTGTGAGGCTAGGTGCTGTCACCATTCCCTGAGGAGCTTTTTCCAACCACTTCTGGGTGAAAAATCTTTTAGTAATACTTAACCTAAAGCTCACCTGACTCAACTTCATGCTCTTTCCTTGACCCCTGTAACTGGTCATGAGAGTGAAGAGCTTGGTACCTGCTCTTCTGCTTCCCCTCATGAGAATGTTGAAGACTATAATGGAGTTTTTCCTCAGTCTCCTCCAGGCTGAACAAACCAAGTGACCTCAGCTGTTCCTCATAAGGTTTGCCCTCCAGACCCTTCACCATCCCCATGGCCCTCCTTTGCATGCTCTCTAGTAGTTTAATGTTGTTATGTTGTGGCACCCAGAACTGCCCCCAGCACTGGAGGTGAGCCCACCCCAGCTCAGAGCAGAGGGGACAATCCCCTCCCTTGCCCAGCTGGGTATGCTGTGCCTGGTGCCCCCAGGACAGGCTTGGCTCTCCTGACTGCCAGGGTACTGCTGATTTATGTTCAACCAGGACATCCAGGTCTTCAAATGATACAATGTACTGGAATATGCCATTCAGAGAAACCATTGTTGTTCTCTAATAAAATCAGCAGTGGAGCTGAAGACAGTAGGTCTTCCTGTGAGCTTATGTATAGAGGTTTGAATAATGGCAGTGATGCCTATGACTAAGAGGTGCTGAGAGAGGCTGGAGTGTCTGATGATGACTGGTAAAATCCACTGTGACTTCAAATGCAAATCAGAATAAATTAATGCTGCTCAGTGTTTTCTAGGCATTCCAAATTCAGACTAATTTTTGGGTTTGTTTTTTTTTTTTTTTTTCCTGGTGGAGTTTTTGGGATTTTTTTTATAGTAGGAGTTTACCAAATTAAACCCACATAAATTACCATATTTCAGGAGATCTGTAAAATGGTTTCTTTTTGACCTGTGGTATTTATATCCATATGCTGCATAGTTGTATTCAGATGACTGTGCTCTTAGATATTTAGTCTTGGGTGTTCCTGTTTCCTGAAGTGACAAAGTTTGTGATACTATGCATGTATGAGATAACTCATTATCTCTATTACACCTGAGGACTATTTCTCAGTGAGTAGAGATTTGAGACTGATCTTAACACTTGCTTTATTAGTTCTGGACTTACAGCATTATTAATCATTGTGCTGTCCTTCTCTCTCACCTGTTTTTTAGCCCACATATGGACCTGCAATAAATTCCGGTGTGGAGAAAAGAGGCGACTAGAATATCGTTGTTCCTGTTCAGATGATTGCGTGGAAAACAACGATTGCTGTGTTAATTATCAAGCTGTTTGTAAAGGCAAGTATCATCAACAAATTACTACTCTTTCATATGTACCTATATTTGTATAAAAGGAGCAAGAACATAATATGACTTTAAAAGCATCCAGTAACATGAAAAAAACCTTGCATCTATCAGTAGGAATGTACTATCTCAAAAAATGAATTGCACTCATTTGTTTTAAGGAGAGGCAAGCTGGGTTGAAGAAGAGTGTGAGAACATTACTGAACCTCAGTGTCCGAAAGGGTGAGGAAATTTTATATTTGCATAGCTCTGCTCTTTGCTTGTATTTCATTTTTGAGATTGTTTTCCCTGCTGTGCCTTCCTGGGATCTGCTTGCCTTTTACGCACACAGTGAAAGCTGCTGCCAGAAAGAGATGAACCCCTGTTCAGCCAGCATTTGTTGGTGCTTACTAACACATCAGCTTGCTCTGTCTCAGCACTTGCTTGACTTGCAATATGTGCCTATTCCTCAATCCTGGTGTTTCTCACAGATATGTGTGCCCTGGGCAACTCTGCCTGGGTGCCAGTCATATTATTGATCTACATGTGCTAAAATACCCACCATTCCAAATATTTTGGGACCCATCCAGCAACCTTAGACTGTCTCCCTCCCTTGTCTCTTTGAAAGACTTTTCCAATACCTTGCGTTTTCCAGCCTCAGGACTCCAAACTGTGGGCAGACCTGTGTTCCAGCTCCCCCAGGAGTAGGACAGCACTATTTGCAAGCTGTCTGAATTACTTGCTTTAAAAGGTGTAAAGTGCCATGGGATCCTTGTATTCTCTGGCTCAGCTCCACATTGGGCCTGCTTCTGCAAGTTATGTATACAGTGTGTGAGGAGTGACTCATGTGGTTTATGGCATCAGCACTTAGGCTTGAATAGTACAGCAAAGCTCCCAGCCAGGAAAGAAAGCTTGTATTACTTGAATTGTTTTTGCTGTGGGATCTTCTAACTAAGTTTGTAGTTAAAGTTGACTATTAACTATGATTGTATGTCTAAGCTGTCAGTAGAAGTGACTTTAATTCTAGATTGATTTATGTTCTAGCAGTAAATACTTGCTAGACATGTTGTGAGACATGTTATGGGACAACTATATTCTTGTCTGACAAGTATCAAAAAATACACACCTTTTTCTTTTGATTTTGAAATTATGGTGCAATGGGATATTTCTAGTAAAGTAAAAGCATTTTATTTTGTTCTTATGTCATTACATTTTTGACTTAAGACATTTAAATCATGCTATTTTTATTCATTGGAGTGATAATACTGTCAAACAAAATACAAAATATTTCCATGTGAAATACTTCATACCAATTGAGTACCCTTCACTCTGATTCAGAGCACTAACAGTTGCTGACATGTCAGAACCTTCATCAGGACAGAAACTGGAGCTTCTGTCCAGCTTGTAGTAGTCCAAGTCCCCAGTAATCCCCTGTGTAGGAAGGTGATAGCCAGGCACTTGTTGAAGTTTTTGTCGTTGAATTTTGTTTTGAGTTCAGGAGCCATTTGGAACTTCTTGCTGGGAACAGAGTCTACAATGGTGATTTCTGTAACGTAGGGTTAGGAAGCTTTGCCCCCAAGAGGTTGGTAAACAAGAAGAGTCTTGTGCAGATCCACAGTCAAAGTTACTGACGCAAATGCCATAGGGCAACTCCTGTTGGTTAACTTGTTTTTAGGGGTTTTTTTGGTTTTTTTCTGTTCAGCTCATGAAAGGGATACATAGTTACTCCTCTAAAATTGTTTTTATCCTGGTAAACCCCAAAATGTTGCAATAAAACCCAGCCCAGGAAAGGGTGATGTGTGGTCAAAGTTGAATCAAGCAGTGTTGACTGAAGGTTCATGTTGGACTATTAGCACACAAGCCTCTCCCAAAAGTAACAACTCTGTAAACAATCCGCTTCTTCCTATGCTGTGTGGTAGGCAGTAGTGCAGGTGAATTTAGTTGCAGTGCTCTTTTTGAAACTTCAGGATATCAATTCTGATTCTGTGCATAGCATATTTTGTGGGTTCCAATTGCTGGTTTTATTATTCTGTTTTAGTTTTAGGTGGGTTTTAGCTGTGCAGAATAGACAAAATAGACAAAAGATGACACAGCATTCAATGAGGTGCTGAGAAATAATAATCTGAGAAATCCCACTGATTTCAGTGAGATCAACTGCTCACTGATTTCAGTGATCAACAACTTAAAGTACACAACTAATTCTTTCCAAAACTGGGTTCTGTATTGTTTAATAGGATTATAAAGTTAATAGGCTGCAAGATCTCGAGAGTGATCTAATTATTCCCAGTGTTCTAGGAGTGAAATAACACTCAGACAATTCAAACCTACTATCCTAGTACTTACGTAGATGGCTTTACTGATGACTTTTTGCTGTATTTTTGTCCTCATGTCTTTTTCTGTACTTCAGGCCTATTACTGTTTTTCCTATCTTCATTGAGTTGTAAGAGCATCTTATTTCTTTCCTCTTTGCTTATCTCTTTTTATATTGAGATTGCTCTTATGCTTCCTGTTGAGGCTTTCTGTACATTTAGTGGAAAAGAAAGCATTTCCTCCTGTGCTTTATGGTTGTATATAGGCAGTATAAATGTGTGTGGGATGAGAAGTCTTCTGGGTATTACATTAAGCTTTTCAAGGGAGTTTTCTTTTCCTTCCTATTTTGTTTTCTTTCTTTTAATTATGGTCTAACCTACCTGCAGTGAGGGAGGTCAACTTGGCTATTTGTTCCATGTTTCTGGCCTCTTGGTCATCCAGACTGGTGAACCTACTGGACCACAGCAAGCCTGTGTTGCCTGCATAGTGTTTCCATAGAAGCCAGTTTATAGGAGGGGATAATTGCTACTGCATTTCCTTCAGTTTGGAGTCAGGATGTGACTGTGGCATACCTATTTATCCAAGAGTTGTGAAACGTGCTTGTCTTACTGTTTGGACACAGCCAGCGTGAATCACCAACAGGACCAAAACTTGAGCCTCCCAGGCTTGCTTGCTCATGACAGCCCATTCATTAAGTAGCAAGTGTAGTCTTGGCCACTGACAGCAAAAATGCGTGGAAGTGGCTGATACACCTCAGAATGGAGCTTGGGTTGGTTTGTCTGGGGATTTTACTGGAGCTGTTCCAAAGAGAATGCAGTTTAACATGGTCTGTCATGCTTTGCTTCCCTGAGCACTAGGGCAGATCACTAAATATATGACTTCTGGCATGAGTAGAGCATAGAAGAAGTGAAATGGGCAATTTCCCTCATTGTGGCAATGGCCTATTTTGCCAAGTTTAATTTTACATGTGCAAAGGGGTTGGTAGCTAGATTTGCAGACAGCCAAAACATGTATTTAACAGTTGGTTTACTTGTAAATGCCAAACCAGAAACAGTTGCGTAAAGTCCCTTTCTAAGTGCTTGTTTTAAGTTTGGTGGGGTTTTCTGGTTTTGGTTTGTTCTTTTTTTTTTAAGTTAGGCTTGTTGATAAGTAATATTGAACAGCCTTTGCCTCAAAGTTCCCATTTTATAGCACAGAACTTTGCAGTGAAGATTTTTAGATGTGGAGAAGTTATTTGCAAAACTTGCAGAGATCAAAATCTGTGGTGCAAAAATATACTTGTAATATGGGCAGAGGCAGTGCATAAAGTTTCCTTACTGTGTTCTGCCATACAGCTTTAGTTTTGACCTGAAAATTACTCATTTCATTTCATTACTCATGTGCCATATAAATTAAAAAGCAGGCTACAAACATACATCTTAGAAATGCATCTAAAGGTTTTGTTCTATCTCGGGTATAGGGTAGGCTATGTGATAATTCTGACTAATAAAATCCTTTTGGCTGAACTGTTGTCCAAATTGTTTATTAAAATTTTCTTAAGATGGACATGTTTTGGTTGCCTGACTATTCCTTACTTTAATGTAGTTACATTTGTTTGACTAATACACAGCTTATAAATGTTTCATTTGTAAATGGCTCTTCAGCTTTCTTTTGTGGCGTACATCACTAAAGAAATTGTCAACACTTCATAAATAATATTTGTCTTCTATCCTCGCTGTTTTATTTTTGGAAACTAGGGTATAACAAAGTTTAAAAAAAAGTAAATATAAAAAGGGAAAATGAGCTGGCAATAAACAAATATTTTAATATTGTAATATTTTAAATAGTAAATAGTTTTATGAAATTCCATATTTTCCATAGTTATTGCTGCACAGCAGTGATTTTTTTTCAGTCTCACATGCCCTCATGTCTATAGGTCAAACACAGGGTATGTTTTCTTCAAGGAAGAAGTTACTGATGTTACAGAAGCTACTATTCCTGTGTGTGATGCAATGTTTTAAGTACTTACAGTTGGAGAGAAATTGTTTGAACAGGGCTGAATCTGGGAGCAAGTCAAGACTGGAAAACATACGTCCTGTGGAGACTAGAAGGGGAGATTTTGTTTTTGTTGGTTCCAGTGAAATCAGTATCTGACTTTATCTGTCAAGTTCCTGGCAGAAATGCTGTTACAGTGTTTCCAGTCACAGGGCCACATATTTGAGTTTGGAGATTGGTAGGACTTCTGGAGCAGTAAGCAAGTTCTTTTTGGTTGGATAATCTTTGTAAGATGAGAGGAAAAGTATGTATTTTAGTTGCTGATTTAACATACCCTGTACATTAGACTTGCTTACAGTTCTGTGCACTATATATATATATATGCATATATATAATCCTTTTTTTCAGCTAGGTTACAGGTTATTCAGGAGGAAAGTGAATAAAGAAAAGTTTGGCTTTGCATTGCCTTATTTCTTTCCCTGCTCTTAGCTTGGGGTGGGACAATGGGGTTGGAGGGGCCGAGTGTTGCTTCAGTGGGACTGATTTCAAGATAAGGAGTACCAAATCCACCAGATGGATCACCTGAGCGTCTTGGCTTGCTCACCTTAAAGGTGTGTTTGAAATCAGGCCTTGCCATGACTTTTCTGTGCATGCCCTGCTGCAGACCTCAGCCTCTTTGGGTGCAGATTGCTCTGCCAACCTTCAAGCAGAGGGACTGGAGCACTTTGCTCAGCACTGGGCCAGCAAAATTTCTGCTGAGGAGGACTTCCTTGGCCTGGCTTATAGCCCCAAAATGAACATTCCCACAGTCTGGGCAAACTTTCTTGAAATTAGTGATAGGAAACTGTTTCTCAGAGTCTGTCTTTTAATATTCAGTTTCTGTTTGTTCAGATTTACCAAGTCTCCAGTGTTACTATTTTCATTGGATGGCTTCAGAGCGGAATATTTGCAGACTTGGGGTGGACTTCTACCTGTTATTAGCAAATTACGTGAGTAGCTTCTTTGTCTAAGAACTATTATGATGTCTTACCTGAAAAAAGCACAAATGCAGTTTTCCTCACTCTTTAAAATCCTCACTCTTCTGCCATGAATATGGAAGTTGTTGCCCTAGAGAACACCCATGCACAAAGAACTTTAGGTGATGGAGAGTGGAAGGGCAAGAAAGAGAGGACTTGAGAAAAGGGCCCTTTTATTTTCATTGAAATCTTATAAGTTATAGCCACTGTTATATTTAGGAGGTGGATTTTTTTTTTTTTTGCTGTGGGTTATTTTATTTCTTCAAAATAGAAGTAGATCCTTTTTACTCTATAATGCATATCATCTCATATTTAGGTGGGATGGCTTTGGAAAATGAAAAGCATTTGATTATATTTGGAAAAGGAAGACAAAGAAGGAATAGACTAAGAGGAGATGATATAGAAGGGCTGGTAGAAGTGTAATGAATCCAGGAAAACCTTAATTTAGCAAACATTTCCAGAAGAAATATTCCCCAGCTTTTTTAGTGTCTTACTTGATTTGGTGGTGTCTAAATAATTTTAGTTACTTTTCCTGTTTCTGTTTTGGCTGCAGTCTGTAGAGAACTGATGGTATTTCTTGTCTGAAAAATATGCCAATCTTCTTGACATTCAGAAATTACTACCTGGGGTGCCTGGTTTCAGTTTGACTAAAAATAAATCAGTAAAAAATACTTGCTTTTTTACACAGTGGTTGTTACAACTTGAAGCATTCCAGAGGATAGCAATTCGCAGATGTATCTGAGGTTTTAGGTTCCTTTTAGTTTTGTTCTGTGCTAGAATAAAATAAGACATTTGCAAAGTTTTCATTAGACCCAGTTATAAAAAAATTAAACTTGAGAAAATTTCTGGGATATTTCTAGGAGAGGCTGGCTAGTACAAATTATTCTAGCATTGCCTGAGATACAAGATAGAAATGTCACAAAGCATGTGTAGGACCTCCAGTCTGCGGTATCCTCTTACACATGTCAAGTTTCTTCATGCTTTGGTCTGGATAGACTACAGTGGAACTTCTCTCATTGACATCTATAATTAACTTGCACTTCTCTTTGCACTGAGCCCATGACAAATTCTGACCGCTAAGGAATACAGATATATATTTGTATCTTCATCAAAGTAATTTCATTTCTCCACAGCTACAAGGTTTTTTATGGTCAAAACATGTATTTTTAAAATACTCTAATACCAGAATGCATAATAATGCATGTTTTGTATCAAACAAAATACTTGTCCCAGTCTGGGGGCAGGTATTAATTCTGCATTATGCTTATGGTTCTAAAGTACTCAGGATCATTTTTTGGTAATATGCTAGAAGGGCTTTGCTGTACAATGTCCTATGGAATCTTCAGTTTTCTTCTTTTTTCTCTCATAGTAAAAATTTGGTGAAATGCTCTGATAAAGCAAATTTTCTTTAGTAAGAGAAAAATATTCTCATTAATGAAACTTTGTGTCCCTGAGGTGTGTATCCACTCTGAGGGCCTGTGGCTTCAAATCTGTTATGTGCTTTATGTTCCATGTGTCCAAAAATGGTGGAAGCAGTCATATTGTAAAAATAAACTAATATATGAGTGAGTCAATATTCCTGCAGGACTTCACTGCTCAGAAGAGGGCAATGAAATCTATTCCTCTGTGTAGACAGGTAACAATAGTGAATAAATTGCTTGACTATTGCTGAAAAATTGTATTAAATAATTTTGGAGTTCATAGCTGTGCATTTATAGGACTATTAAATTTTCAAAAAGAGTTTAAGAATGACAGCATTTACAAAGCAGTGAACAGCTACTCACATTCAGTAACTTATAGGACTGCTTGGTTCTGTGTTAAATTAGAACTGTGCTAAATGCCTGGATTTTCATCTTTAAAGCATTTTATGACAAGGGTAGAATTCCAGTAGATAAAAATATTGCCATTATTTGGTCCTGTTAATTCAGCCATGCTTGCAGTGATATTTTGGTGTCTCCTTGGAGAAATCTGTCAGAGTAGATGCCTGTAAGACTATCATAATTTCACTTTTACCATGCTTTGTTATACATTTTCTCTCCCTGCTATTTGAAAGATGAAAAATTCAGCATGGAGCTGAGGGATTTTAGTGAAGCCAGGCATAGTCTTGCTGGGCACATGTGGTGTTCAGAGAAGACATTTTAATATACAATTATGCTGTGGTATTTTAACTTTTAGATAAATGATCCTTTTGTCTTAAAGCATCTTTAGCCAACGAGCCACAAAGAATAATGATAACTCTGATGGAAAGTCCTACCAAAAACCCCCTTAGATTTTTGGCAAAACTTTTTAAGTGTGTTTCTCTATTACTTTAAAAAGCAAAGCAAAACAAAAAAACCTGCAACCTCCCTAGACACCCACACAAAAAAATGAAGATTTTGGAAAACAATCTCAACAACAGATTTGCAAGCAGTTGAAATGTACTAGGTGTTTTCCAGTAATAAAGGAAGATACAAGTGATTATTAGTTACTTACAGAACACAAGTGTGGGAGGTGATGCCTGTGTGACTTGAGAGGATTTATTTTTCTGGCCTGTCTTCTTTTATCCTCATTAGCTGAAATGTATTATTTCAATTGAAATCTAATTGAAGCACCAGTCCAATGAGTTCAAAGTGACTTGATGCAACACCTCCTATGTTATGAATCCTTTAATTTCTATTCTATTTATATTATGTGTAATTACGCAGAGTCAGTGAAGATGTCGCAGTGATGTTCTTCTTATAGGGTCATTAGTTTTGCTTCTTTAGCATCTGATGAAGCAGTTTTGGTATTTTCTAAGTTGTCATGAAAGCATTTTTTTTCTTTCTGAAAATTTGGGCCCACACATTTGCTGATGGAAATTTAGACCCCTTAAATAAGGTTTGCCCAGTTGTTTTGGCCTTGCTAATGCCTCTTCATACTAGCAAATACTGTACGCTAATCTCCCTAAAGCCATATGATTTGTATATCGAGATAAAGAAAACTTTGACATTCATCCTAGAATAAGAGCTTATTTTTTGTTTTAAAAGCCCCACAAACAAGAAAGGAAGACTGAAAAACAAGCAATGATTTGACAGATGGCTTAGAGAGCCAGGCACCACTGTGTCAGTGGCCACTTCACCTCTCCTCTGGGAGCACCCAGGGTCTCAAGCTGCAGACTGCATTTACTGTATACCAGGGCAACTTTGGAGGGTGTGATTTCTTTCATTTTTAATTCTTATCTGTACATACTTTTCAAGAAGGCTCTAGATTTTGCTCATGTAACCATTGCAGTCAGCCATTAGGCATATATAAAATTTGTGTTGATAGGCTTTTAGTCAGCTTGTAAATGAATATCGGAAGAAAACTTAAGTCCACCATTTCGAAGAGCGTAAACTTTCTGGAAATATATTATGTTGGTTTTGGGGTTTTTTTTAATAGCTATACATTGTCATGTGAGAAACTTGCAAGATTTTTACTTCAGTAATTTTGCTGACTCTCTTTGTTACTTCCTCTAGAGAAATGTGGAACATACACTTCCAGTATGAGACCAGTGTATCCTTCAAAAACCTTTCCCAACCATTACTCCATTGTCACAGTAAGAATTCTTGTACAATATATTTCCACTACTGTTCATTATCAGCTTTTCTCCAAGGGAATAGTATATTTTGATGCATTATTAAAATAATTTGCTTTCCCTTCAGAATAGGAAAAAATTATGTACTATATTTATGTAACTTAGGTTAACAGCTATTATATAACACCACAGCTAAGCAGCCAGATCTAATGTTGGTAAATCCAGACCTTCCAAGAGTAACTGAAAAATCCTATATAGCCAGAAGTTCACATCACTTTACAACTCCTCATTTGTGTAAATATTTCCACTAAATTGCAGTTTCCTCTCTTGGAGTGGGAGCAACCTAACTGCTTTAAGTTGCCAACCTTATTCCACTGCATTAAGGTAGTCTGGCATGATGAAAGGAAAGGTATGAAATCAGAGGAAAGATTTGAGCATCATGCTGATATTGGCTCTGTGTGATGGACTGTACCTAAGACTGCATAGAAATGTCACAAAGCTGATCTTGTAAATTTGACACTTCTTGCCTGTATGAGGAAAAAGAAAAATTGAGGTTTTCAACACAAATGCAGGGTTGGAATCCAAGACATCCTTTTTAGTTTCATCATGCCAAAACTAAAATTCAATCAAATACTAGGATCTGCACTTTCTTATCTTCCCAGTCTGTCAAGACCTTTGGTGGGAGCACAAGGTCAGGAATGAGGTGCTTAATTGAGTAATCCTCACAAATCTCCATGACTGAACGTGCAGCTAAGAGTTCTTAGTCATGCCCAGCAGCCATGTGAGGTGTACAGTGCAGAGCTTTATCTCCACTCCTCATTCTTGTGAAAAGTAGCATGGTCCTAATGGTGGTGGTGCTTTATCCCTTATAAATGTAAAATGAAGCTAGTCTGATTAAAGACAGAGCACAAAGTCTGCCAAAACTACCCAAGACCTGGTGCCTGCACTTCTTTGACTGCTCATGTAGTGGTTTTCTAGTACTAGAGCTTTTGCTCATGTGATGGAGGTCTAGCATAGATGATTGCTTTGTCTTTGGTACTAAAGATACAACAAATGTGTGAACTCAAACAGTGTCTTTCAGTTTGATCCCAAAGGACAGTACCTAATATTTTTTAACTCTCACTGAGAAGCAAATAAGGGTTGGAAGGTAGGGCTTGGACGCAATGAGAGATGTTGCTGCTAAATTTGGCTCCTGAGCCACTGGTGGAGTAGAAATCACCAGGAGAGTGACTTTTCAATGGATATATTTGTCTGAAGGATGTGTTTGAGTCGCTGGAAGGTTCTTCTTCTTCAGAGCATTGCAACATAGCATATTCTCAATTACAGGGGCTGTATCCTGAATCTCATGGTATAATAGATAACAAGATGTATGATCCCAAAAGAAATGCATCCTTCACCCTTAAAAGTAAGGAGAAGTTTAATCCACAGTGGTACCAAGGCCAGCCTGTAAGTATTAATACCCTTCTGAGAATGTACATCACCCTGTTATGTTACTTAATATGGCTTGGGTGCATAGTGATGTTGAAAGAGGACAGAGGGTAGTTCTAAGTCAGCCAAGAAGCGTTACTCAGCACCACTAGGAATTGCCGTGCTAGAGCTGCAAAATAACAAATGAAACAAAATGTAACAGCTTTTGTTGAACTTAAATGGAATTTTCCCCAAGGAGAATGCTAGCTTAAAATAGCTAATATAGCTACCAGATTTTCATCTGTTTTTAACGTGAGTGGGCTTGCAGTTAACTTCTGTGAGGAAATCAGCAGACTAATAAGATTGAGTAATAAGAAGCAATAATAAAGGTTTATGCTCTGCTTAAATAACTTGTAAGTCTAAAGATGTGCTTTTAAAGAAATTATCTCAGCTCAATCATATAACTATGGCAAAACTGATGAGATTGCCATGAAAATGAAGTGGCATGGAGAAATTTAAATGAGCACTAGCCTGAAGAATCGCAAGGGACCCGATGTAATTGTTTAGTATGTGGGGGAGACTGGGGCCTTTTGGTTGTTTGGGTTTTTGTTTTTTGGTGTTTTTTTTTGTTTTGTTTTGTTTGTTTTGTTTTCTTTGGTTGGGTTTTTTTTCCTTGAGGAAAGAACACACAGGTGTAGAGCTTGCAGGCTACTGAGAATAGAGTGATGTATGAGTTAGGCAGGAAACATGCAGAAGGTATAAATCTGTAAACCATGAGAGCAGCAGTAAAATCAAAGGAACTGACCAAAATGCTGTTTCCATATGTCAAGAGTGTGTGGGACATTGGTCCTTGGAATATTGCCACCCATTCTTTTGTCACTGTTTTTGAGACATTTTCCCTTCCTGGCATTCAGCCATGGTTCTACCATTGCATTTCTGCTAACGCGTCCTACCTCTGTCCTGGCTCTCCGTGGCCTCACAGCAGCAGGGATGCGGGTGTTTGCCACAAGGAATCAGCCTACAAAGTGTAGCTGCAGATACAATGGCAGGCAAGATGGACTGGAGTGCTGTGTGTAACAATTTGTTTCTGATCTCGCTGGAGGGTGTGCAGTTGGTCAGGGGATGGTGGGCCTGGCAGTCTCTCAGCTGATTTGGTGCTGGGCGCTAACGATGGTGAATGTTCTCCTGCAGATTTGGCTCACGGCCATGTACCAAGGGCTGAAAGCAGGGACCTTCTTCTGGCCTGGGTCTGATGTAGCAGTGAATGGAACCTTTCCAAACCTGTATGAAATATACAATGGGTATGTAAATGCCTTTCTCTTGGAGGAATTTTTGCCTTTAACGATTACGGTGGCACAGATGCCAGAGAAAGTATCCAATTAACTTTGTTTCAGTATAATGTAGAGCCTTTGTTTAATTATCTTTTCATTCCTCCAGAAGTGTTTTAATGGTAAGATATGTAAAAAGCATAACCAGCTTTGAAGCTCTAGTACTTTACTCTTTATGCAAGCCTTTTGTGGCTAGTGTAGAATATTTCCATACAAACTTTTCATGAGTCAATGGATGAGGCTTTGATGTGATATTGTCTACGGAAACTAAAGTTTTGCTTTTGACTGTGGTAAGCTGTTCCAATTTAAAATTATTTTCACTGCAGATTTTGAAAATATTAAGGCACTCATATTTTAGTCAGTGATTGCTCTTCACTGCAATTCAACATTTTCTGCTTAATGAAAATGTTTATCAGCATTTATTTAATAATCTCAAATCTTGCCCAAGAAATCAGGCTTCTCATTTCTATTTCAGGATTATTTTCTGTTCTTACACCCTTCATACACGATGGAATTTTTGATTCTTGATTTGCTGCCTTATATTTTCTTCCCTAGGAACTGATGATGCACTGTTACTTGGACTTGTGTTAAACACTGAATACTTACTTTGTGGGTGCCTAGTGTTGTTAAAGGTCAACGTGCTGATTGTTGGTCTACTTCAGTAATTGATGCAGAGATCTACTTTGTAACATATTATGAGAAAATTTTATTCAACCTATTTAAATTTAAAATACCCAACCCCACTCCTAAACCAGGAATTTTTCAAAACATAGAAATAAAAGCCTGGATGTGACTTTGCACCTTGACGCCAATTATTTGCTTTATATAATAAGCATAAGCACTACTGGGAGCATTATTCTAATCATATTGGGAACAATATTCAAGGGAGATTCAGATCAGGCCATAAACTCCTGTAGAGTCATAGGCAATTAGCATAGACAAATTTGTATCCTGCTAAAAAGCCTGTAATTTTTTTTTTTCTGCTAAAGTACAGCGATTTTTTGATAATGTATGGCTAAAATATTTAGCTCTTGGAAATACATGGCTGGTTGATATCGTATTATTTTGATGCAGCTCAATCCCCTTTGAAGAAAGAGTGGTGACTGTCCTTCGCTGGCTGCAGCTACCTGAAGATGAAAGGTAGGTATATATTTGCGAGTGTGAGTTCCTGTTTCAGTGGTATTGCAATTAATTACTTTGTAAACACAATTTCTGTTTTAAACAATATCTTATGCTTTATTCTAACAATGTTGAAATATTATTTAGTGCAAACCTGTTTCTATGGCTGAAAACTTTTTAAATTAAGTTGCATCTCTCAGTTTAATGTATTTTTTCTCTGAATGACAGCATTGTTTCCAATATGTGATCTCCATTGTTGAAATATAATCTCTTCAAACTGTCTCAACATGTATGTAAAATATTACATTTTTGGTACTGTTTGATATAGACCACACTTTTACACTCTGTATTTAGAAGAACCAGATTCCTCGGGCCATAAGTTTGGACCAGTAAGCAGCGGAGTAAGTAGTTTTGTAGTTTCTTAATTTTTTTTTTTAAGTTTGACTTTGCTTTGTCTCTATAAGTTCCATAATTCATTTTAGGTTAATTAAGATCATATGAATTCTCATGTATTCTTATTTCAATAACTTTTAAATTACCAGTGTATGTTTGGGTATGTCTTGTATGTTCTTTTATTTCCTTCTGCTTACTGATGGTTGATACTGATTTTTGGCAGGGGAGGGGAATAGGGACAGAAAATGTGTATGATTTCAATTTAGCAACAGCAGAGGTTTGTATAACAATGTGCAAGTTGTGGTGGTGAAGTATGTTACAATCGACAAAATGACAATGTTAGAATTGTCATTAATTTCCCTCCAGTCTCTATGCTAAGGTTAGGTGGATTTTGGCTTTATTTCCCTGCAGTTATAATTTATGCCTTCTCAGAGACAGATGAAAGGAACATTGGCCTCATCACAGTCTGTGATTTATTCTATAAGTAAGAAATCTTTGGGATGGCTACTATCTTAAAAAGTACTGAATAACTTTACATTTTAAAATGCCAAAGTAAAACATTCAAAGGAAAAAATTCTTAAAAATTCAGGATCTTTGTAAAATTATCCCACCTTGAACAGTCAGGAAGTTTAGGCATCATAAATAGGTATTTAGCTTCAGTGGTGACAAGAGTAAAAAAACTCTTGC